TGCTGCGTGTCTGTTCTCTTCCTCGCGCAGACGGGCAGCACTCAGGGCCTGTCTTCCAGCTGCGTAGGGCTGTGGTAGGCTATTTGTATGTTACTACCACAAGTATAATGTTGAGGTATGCCCAGAAAAAACGTTTATAGCCCCGGCCTGTATTAGAGACCGGCCATTATTTACCTCCTCTGACAGCGAGGCCGGCCATTTTTAGAGACCCGGCCGCTATTGGAATACAGGCCAATATTAGAGAATTTACGGGTAAGCATACAATTAATTCCCCCTAAAAATACAATAAAAATAAAAAATGTAGATAGAAATTAAATTATACAGTGAGACAAAAGTGTATATATCTCTTTTTTAATTAGCTCCTTTGTTTGTTTTTTTTTGCCTTTGTAATAACTTTATTCATTTATTACAAATTTCTTTAAGTATTTATTTTTGTGCATGATATATTATTTTTGTCTGGTTTATTCTTCCTTTGTATTTTTTTCTACCCCATTTATTTCTACCTGTCGTTTTTACATTTCTGCCTCATTATGCAAATGAGGATGGGTGTGTCTTAAGGGCTCATTGGCTGGTTAGCAGCCACCGGCCACAGTCACAGCAAACATGGCTACCTACGATGTAGTCAGTGAGCTGAGACATTTAGCAACTGTTTTTGAAAACAATGCTAACATAAGTATCGACTTTATTACTTTTCATTTGGATGCTCTGACAGACCATGTGTTTCAGTTAGCGGCACACATGAACACAGATGTCAACAATCTAGTTCTTCAGCGGGATCTAGCAAACGGTTGATCCGACTGAGGGACTCTGATGTCGGCCAGCGTCTCTCAGCTGCTCCCTCCTCCCACACGCGGTTCTGCATTCAGGGACCATCAACAAGTCTTTAAACCAAGCACTCTGAGAAACAAAAATCAATAAATTCCTTATCTTATGACCAGCTAAGACGAAACTAATATAAAATAATGCCAATAGATAACATATGTAAGTCACACTTGCTGTAATGCAATTTTAAACTATCTTCAATTTTAAAGATATTTTTAAAAACAAAAGTTGGGATTTTTCTTCAATAGTTTCCACGTCATGTGACCCATTGAGTCAAATTCTTTGTCAAATTTAGCACAGTTGCTAAATGTCTCAGCTAACTCAGACAAATTTATCGTAGGTAGCCATGTTTGTTGTGACTTTGGCCGGTGGCTGCTAACCAACCAATGGGCAGAAGTTGACCCTCTAAGACACACCCCTCCTCATTATGCAAATGAGGATGGGTGTCGTAAAAATGACAGAAATAAATAGCATGGAAGAAATGAATAGGGTAAAAAATACAAAGGAAGAATAACCCAGATAAATATCATACACATGTTGTGCAAAATGATATCCTGCAGGTAATGAATAAATGATGGACTAGAACTGGAGTTATAGTTAACTTATTCAATATCGGAGGTGAAATCAATTTAGCGGCCTTAGTTGAATAATTGTAGCTTTAATTTGCTTACTTACCAGGGTTTATGCCCTTCACCTCTGGATGGTTCCTGGACCTGCTGTTAAAATCCAGGAATCCATACTAATCTAGTGACATAGGATAGGTTATCAGCAGAACTATTAATTATCAATCAGAGAATTATTTATGTCTGTTTTTTCAAACTATTACCAAAAGAGGGGGGATCTGGCCTGAGTGATAAACCATCTGTACATGAATTACAAACAACTGTAAATTAAACAATGATGTCTTTATTCTAATAATTCAGGATTACAAAAATCTAACATCTATGCAAAAAACTGCATGCTATTAGAAAATAAACACGAGGTAGACTAAGTGACTAGTTTTGAAAGAAAAACAATAAAACCCCAAGAGTCCTTTTAACTGGCTTCTGAGATTGTCTAGGATAGGCCAGATGTTAATACATTCAATAATGTCTGTTTGGAATAGCAGCAGGTATGATGCAATAAAAACAATGTTAATACATTCAGCTTAAATGATAAATGGTTAAAAATGCATTAACAACACCAGCATGTTATAACGAATCTCAAACAACAGTAGCAGAAGTTTGTTCAGCAAACGGGAAGGGCAGGGCAATGTGTGTGTGTGTGTGTGTGTGTAACTCCCCCGTTCATATAATGAAAGGGAAGAGGAGGGGGCCGCATGTTACAATAGATGGTTCTCCACAACATGGCCACACAGTTAAATGTGAGCAATTCCCTATAAACTAACCTTAAACCAGAAAGAGAAGGATGCAGGATAGGAAGAAAGGAAGGAAGAAATATCAAGACTTCGTCCTTCAACACTTCGAATTTAATCTCTCACTTAAGGAAGCACGACCCGGAGAAACACACAGCATTTCTTCAGCAACGTAAAGCCAAGCAACCTGGAGACGACTCGCGCCAAAAAACAACCCAACTGTCTCTGAAAGACTCAATCAAGAAGAAACAGAAATACAACAAGGAACACCCGAGAGCGAAAATGATTTGTCAGAAAATCATTGATTGCATTGTGTTAGACAATCAGCCGTTTTCCATGGTGCAAGATGCTGGATTCAATAAACTTATGGAATTCCTCGAGCCACGCTTTGACATGCCAAGTCGCAAGTATTAATCTGAAGTTTGCCTCCCCGAGCTGTATGGCGATGTTCATAGACACGTTTAGAAGCTAATATCTGATGTTGTGGCTATTAGTTTCACAATGGACATTTAGTCCTCAAGTGTTAACCAAGTAAGTTCTGAAGATATTCCGTTAGGTTATATCCAAGTAACGTCTTCCTATGGGCAACGACTTGAAGGCACAAACTGAACTGTTCATAATTTAATCTTTATGGTACGCCTGCATTCATAACATGTAGGCGAATCACTGTCCTCCAGACATCCACGGTTATATTTTTTATATATTTTTTTTAAAACAAAGCTGAATGTGTATGACATCATCTGCATGCGCCGGCTACCATTCATTCATCCTGTCTGCTGAACTGCTGCTAGTTTTACTCACATTCCTGGAAAATGTCTAGTGCTACTACCACAGATAATCTCACTCTTGGAATGGAATTGAACGATTCAGATTAGCTAGCCCAATGAATAGAAGGGGTAGAGCGTAGGCGTCTGTGGCCCGGGCTTCCTGTTACGACTCCAGTGCGCATTTGCGGCTGACGTCATACACGTCAAACATGAGATTTATTATTTATAAAATGTACCCCAGCAAATACATAACAAAATAAAATTTGGAATGTAAAATTTGATGTAAAATTTGATGTAATGTAAAATGCACATTTTACATTTTAATAATGTGGCTGCATTACTTGACTCATAAGTGAAATTAGTAATCAATCATCTTTTTCGTTTTCGTGGTCTGCCAGCAAAGTACTATCCATAATTCGAAAACGAAAAAGCATTCTGAGCGGCGGGCGCAGCATAGTGACGTCAGCAGCCGCTCTTCCTCAGGTCCTTGCTGACCGGGCTACCGATCTTGTTCGGGGGCGCTGATTATAGCAGGTGGCCTGCTTCATTATAAAAGATGCATATACGCCTAAAATGAAAAAGCTGGGACTCTTTTTGTCTGATTTAGACAGGGGACAAGTCTGGCAATATGGGACGAAGTAAAACGCTTGATGTTAGAACACAGACTGTTAGACTGTTTATTAAGGATAGTACAGTAAAACATAGAGAAATTGTAAGTTAATATAAAACACAAATATAGATTTAAGTACTAAATTTCACACAGGAAAAAGTCATTTTCCTTGTGGATTTAGTCTTAAATGATTACATGTGCACTCCATTTTCTATTTCATTTTTATTACAAGTATATGGTTTACAGTTTTCAATGGGATGAGAACATTTGGACTATGTGAAACAACAAGAGATTTTTTTAAGGAATGTGTTGAAAAGAACAAGGAGCTGTTTGCTTTCAGAGGAAGGAGTAGACACTGCTGTCAGCGACCTGTTTTCAAGCAAACGTTTGTCTTTTATTATTATTTTTAAATCAGTATCATTGTCGATATTCTGCTATAACATTTGAAGGGAAGAATAAAACAGTAAAGCTCATCTTTCATACACGAAACACCTTTCAAATTTCACGTTCAGTATGTTGGAATTGAGGCGGACTTAACTCGGTTTGTTCTTCCTACTCCGTTCCGGGCTCCCGACGAGGGGATACACATTTGCGGAGAAAGGTTTCCTCCCAGAATCCAGTCGTGTGGGTTTATCCAGAGATAGAGGGGCTCGTTGGAAGGCGGACAGGTTTTGGTTTGGTTGGTTACTGAGGAGCAATGGAGCGGACTGCCACTTAGATTTCCAGGAGAACTTGAATGGGATGTGTGGAGGTTAATCCCCTGCTCAGTGTGAAGCTCAAACAATCCTTCAAAGGGGAGAAGGCCAAACATCCAGCTTGCAGGATGACTTTCTGCCGAAAGGCAAAAGACAAAAATCACGTTAGACTCAGAGAAACAAAAACTCAGTTAGACTCAGCTAA